AGTTCGACAACCTAGTACTGTAATAGCCTACTCTATACAGCACCAGGCAGAATGCGTAGAGCCAAATCCACGAAGCGCGCTTACTCGATCAAACTAACGATCCCCGTCGGGAGGTATAACCAACCAAACACACGTCTGGATTGGGAAGCGAACGGATTCGCTGGTCTTGAGTTTCCTCAGCTGTGCAGGAAAGCGTTCTGGGGGAATGGTTGGTGGGGTGGCAAAGTAGCGAACTGTACAAGCGGCGCGCGGGGCATCGGGACAGCGCGGAGCCTGCGCAAGGGGAGAGCCTATTGCCCGCTGCTGGAAGCATCCAGCCCAAGACAAACCACAAACCGACCTTGCCCCGTTTTTGACGCAGAATATTGACTCTGGTTTGGAAACATGTTTATGTGTGCCCTAATTTTTCTGGGTGAATACTGATTTCCTGGTTTGATTTTAGCAAATTGTACAACTTACGGATGAGCTGCAAACCACCCCAAGGACGTTCATTACGGGATTGGTTGGTTTGGAACGACTCCAAGCAGCAGCGCTTGGCGAGAGTCTGGGTGGTGCAGCAGCGCTTGGCGAGAGTCTGGGTGGTGGGTGGGAGGTCGTCATCACACAAGCACCTTCTGCGAAATTATTTTCTAGTTCCGTCAGTTTTTCGTCGTGGTGAGATCCCGTACCCCTGTCTCCACGGGTTGCGGAAGCCTTGGCAGCGCTGACAGGCGACAGGTCAGCGGACCCTGGAGAACGAGTTGCGAGAATCTCCTGGATCATTTGGGAAGTGTCTTTTGTTTTGCTGAGTTTTGACTTGCGAAATGCGTGCGGCAAGTTATTCTGTCTCCCATTGGTCAAGTTTGTTAAGCGCGGCGACAGGGGCGGAACAAAGACGCGCGAAGGACTGAACTGCTAACGCCAGTTCCTATGCTCCGTTGTCACTGGTGGCAGCGAGGCAGGCAAATAATGGTGAAGGACATGGGTGGTGGGGTGCAACTATCGGCGCGCATTGACCAAGGGGATACTGTAAAATGGTGCCCAGTTGTGAAAGGCTTCCGAAAATTATGCGGAATCTCAAGCTGACGTGTCCTTCCAGTCCCCTCAAACCCAAGGCTTCCAAAGAAATTCACCACCACACGCGTGGATAATCCCGAAGTGGCCTAGTCAGTAGAAAGAGGCACTTCCGATAGATGAGGTCCTGGGATCGAACCCATCCCCCTGCAGGCGTGTTCTGCCAGCCCCAAGTAGGGGTTAGCACGTGCTCATCTAGGAGTGGATACCCCTTATAAACTGGTTACGACCAGAAAAACAAATTTAACCTAATTTAACCACACGCGTGGATAGTTACCGCAACCTCAACAAGAACAGTCAACAACAAATGCAATCAGTAATCTTTTTTAGTTCATCATATATTCATCATATAGTTCATCACACATTCTTATCTGCTTTGCTTTGTGAAGAAAGGGAGGAAATAAAGAAAGCAAAGAATTGTGGGGGCAAGGGGTACGAAATTAGCTGTGGACATCTGTAGGACAAATTGGTGCGAAGGGCAACGAAAAGCGACTATAAATTACAAATACAGAAGTGAAGCACCCTCAATTCTATCTAATTTATGTCCTGGTCGTCAAATTAGACGAAAGCACCCAAGAAAAAAATACAAGCAATAAATATCATGCTAATATAGTGATTCTAAGGGAACTAGCAAAACACAGTAATATGGAAGATGGCTCATTTATTGTCAATCAACAACACGTGGGCGGATGCAACAAGCAAACTTGGCAGCCCCCCGATTCCTAAGCAGCAAGCGACCCGGTTCCTGCACATCAAAAGCCAAGGAGACAGCAAGAAAAATCGTCACCAACAGAAACAGCAACAAGACATGTGGCGAAGAGCCAGCGTAGCTGACAGCAAAACGGGGAAGAATGGGGTAGCTTACCGGATTGTCATCGTCGTCGTCCTCTCCCTCTGCTCCATTCCGCTCCAACGTCCGCTTTTGCCCGCGGGGCGTTCCCGCTCTGCTCCCACCCTCCTGGTCCTTGGGTGTCCCTGCCGCTGATGTCGCATCGTCACCACCGCCTTCCTTCCTCTGCTGCGCCTGTGACTCCTGCGCAGCATTCCCCCCACCCTCTCCCACTTCACCCTCCTTCCCCTCCCGACCCCTTCCTTCCCACTCCTCATCCTCCTCCTCGTCCTCATCGTCCTCCTCGTACCACTCGCGCCGCTCATCCACCCGGCACAACCCCCCAAAGCAGCGGGGCTGCGGCTCCGCGCAGTTCTTAAGAGAAAAACACTGCACTTTGAAATCCTCGCTCTCCACCCACTCAGCTGTCCGCACATGCACAGGCTGCACCACCTCCCCTTGCTCCCCAACCAACCCCGACACAAGCAGGCCCGATCCATCTCTCCCAGACCCCACCCCACTCTTACTCAATCTCCCCGACGGTCGGCTCCAGATGGGAGACAATGGGCGGCACGGCCGGCAGGAAACAACCGGAGCGAGCCGGCCAGCCTGGTGCATGATTCCAGTGCACTGCACCGAACCCTCGTCTAAACTCTCCAAGATTCTCGCCGATCTTCTACTCACTGCTCCTCCTTCTCCTACTCCTTCCCCTCCCTCCACCGAATCCCTCTCGGAGATTTCCGACCGGGTGATGGAGAGGGTTGGCAGCAGCCGGGCCGAGTGTGAGCCGCCTCTGAAGGAGGACCCGTACGGCCCGCACTGAGGCTGCAGGCAGCGCCTGTGGCGGATAACGAAGTCGTCTATAGGGAGGACGTGGATGGAGCATGACATGTGGGCTGAGCCGTTGGGGCGAGAGCGCAGACTGGCGCTGCTGCCTATGTTGGCTCCTTGCATTCCGCTCCAGTCGCCCTCATCACTGTCATCGTCGTCACTCTCATCGTGAGTTATGTACCGGCTCTGGCTGCTGCTCGCAGGCTTGCTTTGCTCCTGCTTCTGCTTCTGTTCCTGCTTCTGCTCCTGCTCCTGCTCCTGCTCCTGCTCCTGCTCCTGCTCCTGCTTCTGCTCCTGCTTCTGCTCTTGAACTTGTTTCACCTCCTCCTGTTGCTTCCCCGCCCCTGCCTCCTTGTTACCTTCCACCTCCTTTCCGTTCGCCTCCTCTGCTTCCTCCTCGTCTTCCTTGTCCTCCTTATCTTCCTCTTCCTCTTCCTCGTCCTCATCTTCCTCTTTGTCACTTTCCTCCCCCCGACTCTCTCCCACTTCCTCTTCACTACGACCCGTGACTGACCTCTTCTCCCCTTCCTCTTCCTCCTCCTCCCCCTCCTCCTCCTCCTCCTCCTCCTCATCCTCCTCCTCCTCCTCCTCCTCCTCCTCCTCCTCATCCTCCTCCTCATCCTCACTCCTATCCATCATCTCTCCAAGCTCCCTCTCAAGAGCCGCTGCTTCCTCATCCAAGTCCACCAAACCAGCCTTACCACCACCACCAACACCTCCTCCTCCTCCTCCTCCTCCTCTTCCTCCTCCTCCCTCATCACCTGCACAAAGTCTGTGATTTTGCGAGGAGCATGCTCCGCAGCGCCTGCCGAACCTAGCAGCATGGTCCGGATGGACCGGGGCGGCGTGATTGGGCGGCCTGTCACTTTGCGCTTGTACAGCGATCGGGGCGGCCAGTCCGCGTCTCCTTGCTGCTGCAGGCTCTTCCCAGCTGTCACCAGCGTCTTCTTGTTCCCGGCGGTGGTACCCTCCCCCTCTGCGGTCACTCCAGCAGACGCTGATGCCGCCACTACTACTGCCGCTGCCAGCGCATTTGACGCTGAAGCTGCTGGGTGTGGCTTCGGCAGGGAGGCGTTATCAGCAGGAACAGCAGGAACAGTGGGGGCAACAGCAGCGGCATCAGCAGTTGCCGTTGCAGCGGGTGTGTGCGGGGATGCAGGGGTGGAAGGCACGCGGCCTTCCTGCGACTCCTTGAGAATGTCGCCGCTGCAGCTCACCGTCACAGCAGGCCGCCTGGAGGCCACCCCCAGGGATGCAGCAGCAGCAGCAGCAGGGGTTGCAAGGCGGGACCACGGGGGAGCATGCGCACGAGCAGCCGTTGTGGTGGCTGCTACGCTCTTGCCAATGTGCCGGTCCCTGTCGTCCTCTTCTTCCTCCTCCTCATCCTCCTCTTCAGCCTCAGAACCCTCCTCATCCTCCTTGTCCTCTCCATCGTCATCCTCATTTCCATTACACTCCCGATCCCCACTGCTGACCCCATCCCCATCCACGTTCTCATCTGATTCAGCATCCTCCCTGCCTCCTGGCACACGCACGTGATACCTCCCCTCCTCGTCTTCCTCCTCTTCCTCTTCCCCTTCCCTCCTCGCCGTTCCCTCCCCCGTTTCCTCCTCCTCCTCTTCCTCCTCCTCCTTCTCCACTTCCTCTTCCTCTTCTTCATCTTCCTCCTCAACCCCTCTCCGCCTCTCGGATTTTGACGGTGCTTTCCCCAACCGGCTCTCTCCAATCTCCCACCCACGCCCCGACCCCCAGCTCTTCTGCTTCGCATAAAGGGCTGCAAGCCCCCTTCCGGAACCAAACCCAGCAGCCATAAGCTCCTGCTTCACACTCTCCACATCCTCCCGTCTGCTCTCCAGATTGGCGGAATTCGCACGGGACAGCGGGCACACCTGCTGCTCCTCATACCCTTTCACGTCCACCTGGTTCGGGTGAATTGGCACGGCGAGCCGGTACGCTTCGGCGGGGGAAGAGTGAGGCTCGGAAGACGCGGCAGGGTCGGGGAGGAGGAAAGGCGCGGCGGTAACGGCCGACGGGCCGAGAGGGGGGCGGAGAGGGGAGGGACCGGAGGAGGTGCGTTCGGGGGGGTGAGGGAGGAGAGGTGGGGCGGGGAGGAGAAGGAGAAGATGGAATGGGACTGGGGGCTGGAAGAGAAGACGGCTAGAAGGGGGTGCTTCAAGGGGGTTGAGCCTGAGGGGAGCGCGCAGGTTGCGGGAGAAGGGGCGCGTCTAGGGTGGGGGGCGCTGTGGTGTGGCGGGTGGGAGCGGATGAACGGATGGCTACGGCTGTGAGCGGAGGGTGTGACAAGCTGCGGCGGATGGGAGGCCTGCGCGTCCTGTGATGCGGCGGCGGCTGCTGATGATCCCACCCCTGCTGCTGCTGCTACTGCCACTGCTTCTTGTCCCGCAACTGCTGCTCCTGCTTGTCCTTCTCCTGCTGCCGCTTGCCCTGCTGCCGCTGCTCCTGCTGCTCCTGCTGCTGCTGGCACAGAAGCATCAGGAGCCAGAGCAGGCGGAGCAGCAGCGAGGAACGGAGCAGACGGGGAGTGCAGCAGCAGACCAGCATCACCCGGAGCAGAGGGCGAGGAGGAGAAGGGAGCCGGAGCCACAGCAGGGAAGAAGAACCGGTGGGCACTACTAGACGGCTCTTCCGGCGTTAACGGCCGCGACGGCGCTTCAGTAAACACCGTCACGGGGCACACCTGCTCCTCCTCGAAGCACGGCGGCAGTGCGTCGGATTCAACCATGGCGGAGGAGAGAGAGGCGGAGGCAAAGAGCGAGGCGGGTGCTGCTGCTTGGAAGAAGGGAGACGGGGTGGAAGCTGCGGAGAGAGGCGAGGCCGTGGCGACTGCGGCTGCGGCTGCTACGGCTGCGGAAACGGCAGCAGCGGCCGCCATGCCAACAGTCGCAGGCGGCGCTGTGGACGGCCGGACAAGCTTGCGACCTCCTCTTCCTCCTCCTAATCCCCCTGTGCCTCCTCCTGCTCCTGCTCCCGCTCCCGCTCCCACTCCTGCTCCCCCCGTTCGCAGCCCTCCTGTCCGTCTGCCACCCTCCCCGCTTATGGCGCGATGGGCCACAGTGGAAGCCCCAGCAGCAGCAGGGAGAGTAGCAAGGCCAGACGCTCCAGGGGCAGTAATGGCAGAAGCACCAGAGTGGTGCTGGCAGGAGGAGGTAGAGTGCGAGGTGGGCATGCCAACTAGTCGCCCTGCCACATGAGCAGCAGCAGCAGGAACAGGGGAGCTTGGAGGGAGAGGGCTGAGGTGCGGCGCAGTGTGGTGCAGCGCGGTGTGGTGCGGGGAGAAGCGGGGCTTGGCGAGAGTGCGTGTTGCTTCGGCCAGAGACAGCCCGTTGTAATTGATATGATCCGCCAGGGGTCCGTACGGCTCATACAATCCCACCCCTTCCAGCACCGGCGCGGCAGCAGAAGGGCGCAGGGATGAAAGGGATGATGCTGATGATGATGATGCAGCAGCGTTGGTGGGCACAGCCTGCAGCTGCTCTTCCTGCTTCCCATCCCTGTCTCTGTCTCTATCGCCATCCTCCTCGTCCGACTCCGCGTCTTGTGCATCTAGCGTCAGCACGTCTGCTCCACCGCGCCCACTGCTCGGAGCACTCGCAATGCCACCCAAACGAACCCCTCCTGATCGAGTCCCTAATCGAGCCCCTGATTGAAGCCCTGAAGCTCCAAGCTCCCTCGTCTCTGCGTTGAAAATCCCCTCTCCTGCTCGGGACTCCTCGGCCACCTTTGCCCCCACCACGGCCCTCCCCTTGCTTTCCCCCCCTGAACCAGCGCCACTGCTTGCAGGAGCTGCTGCTGCTATTACTGCTGCAGGCAACCCTGCCGCAGCAGCAGCTGCAGCAAGTTCCTTAGCAGCAGAGCCAGAGACGGAACCCAGCACCTTCTGCAGCATCTGCAGCTGCTGTCGCTGGTGAGCATGCTTCTGCAGTGCAATCATGGACTTAAACGCCCGCAGCTCCTTTTTCCTCCTCCTCTGCTCCTCAGCACTGCCTTCTCCCTCCCTGCCATGCTGTGTTGAGGCCACCTCGCTTTCTCCACCTCCCTCTAGAGTCGCACCCAGACCAGTGCCAGCATCAGCATCAGCATCAGCAGCAGCAACAACAGTTGCAGCAGCAGCCGCTTCTACTGGCGTTTCAGCCACTACCGCTTCTCGTTCTGGTGCTGGTACAGGCACCCCCGCAGCGGCAGCAGCTGCAGCCAGTTCCTTAGCAGCAGAGCCAGAGACGGAACCCAGCACCTTCTGCAGCATCTGCAGCTGTTGCCGCTGGTGAGCATGCTTCTGCAGTGCAATCATCGACTTGAACGCCCGCAGCTCCTTTTTCTTCCTCTTCTGCTCCTCAACCGTATCTGCTGTCTCCTTCTCATGCTCCTTCCCCTCCTCTGCTGCTGCTGCTTGCACCGCACCCACACCATCATCATCACCAGAAGTCACAACAACAGCTGTTGAAACTGAAACCTCAACCACCGCTGCTGCTGCTTCTTCCGATGCCGCCGGTGCTTCTGCCGCTTCTGCCGCTTCTGCCGCTGCTGGCGCTGCTGATGCTGCTGGTTCTGCCGCTGCTGCTGCTGGTGCCGGTGCCGGCACACCCGCAGCAGAAGCAGCAGCGGTAAGCTCCTGAGCAGCAGAGCCAGAAACGGATCCCAGCACCCGCTGCAGCATCTGCAGCTGCTGGCGCTCATGGGCGTGCTTTTGCAGTGCAATCATCGCCTCAAACGCCCGCACCTTGGCCGACACAGTGCTCATGCGCACACCAGACCGCAAAGAGGGATGG